GAAGTTCTTAGCAATGCATATTACTAATCAAAAATTACGTTTTGATATATTTACGGTAGGAAATTTACAAAATATCTTCATGGAACATGATCTTTACTTAATATCCTAATGATGTTTGGCATAAAATTGTATTGTTGTTGGCTATTGCTACAAATATCCCCCAGTGACTTAAGACTGCTTTTGTGCTCCAGGGTCACATTTGCTTAGTTTTATGATCAAAGCTCTGTAGTTTCAAAACATATAATGCAATGTAATACAATGATGATTGAGAGACTAACAAATAAACGCTCCTCAAATGCCTGATGATCATATTTGATACTCACATTTGAACATTAAATAATGTATGGATAATCAAGTAAACTTAAGTTGCTTCAGTTCATCTTTAAATATTACTAACAACAAGTTATTCTCATATTCCCTGAATAAAGATTTCACAGCAAAAACACACGTGAACAACGACTTGAAGGTGGATGTTTGTACAATTATACTAAAAGGTCTTTTACTTGCTAAAAAAGTATAAACTATCAGTCAGATGACAAAAGGCATGTAGCAGATTATGAACAACAGGTTTTTCAGCAAAGTTTTCATCATATTGATAATTAGAGTCTTCATTTGCTTATCAAATATGATACAGTAGGCTTTGTAGGGTTAGAGTAGGAAAAGCTTATTTTCCTGTGATTATGCATGCAAATTTCCTTCATAAAAACAGTATTAAGAGTATCAATATTACCTGTGTGCAGGGGTGAGTATGCGTTGGCGGAGTACACCGAGGTCAAAGCCATCACTCTGAAACTCAGCGAGCAGCTGACACTGTGATCTGAAGAAACTCTTTACCATCAGTCTCACTGCAGCTCCTTTCTGTTTATTTCATGTAGATGTGCTGTACAGGGTCAAAAAAAAGAAAGAAAGTTTGTGTTTTTATTTTTATTTAATTTGGATGTTTTAATATCAAGCAAAGTCATCCATCATCTCTCAATATTTACTAATATAAAGATATATATATATATATATATCCATGTTGTTGAAGTGCATATGCTTTATGTAGTTTTATTGCTATAGATTCACATGAAAACGATTTTCACATCTACACGTCCTTTGCTTTGCTTGTTTTGGAGGTTCAGTTTGTCTTAGAGGTCTTCTGTCATGGCAGCTAAATCTAAATATGTTACCAAGGATAGTCTTTTATGTGTAAAGACATCACATTTTTGGATTTAATTTGATAAAAGATGTAACTGTTACTACATTTGCTTTGTGATGCTGAATGCAAACTGAATTGATGAACCATTTTCTGCACTGTATATGTACAGTGTGTTGCCCTGCATATACTAATGTATAATTGGAATTAAAAGTGATTTGTTAAAAGTACATACACATACATTCATCTTATGACAGGTGAATTGATGTAATTGCTTAAAATATATTGCTTACTTTGACTTATTAAATAGCTATTGATTTAAAAAAAAAAAAGAAAAAAAAAAGCTGGATCTGAATCAATGAATCAATAAATAAAAAAATCACATGAATTAACCTTTTTTGTCATTTTGATACTAATTTACAGTATATATATATATATGTGTGTGTATATATATGTGTATATATATATAAATAGGGAAAGAAATATGATTTCAGTCCGCATCTTGATTTTTTGTGTTTTTAGCATTTTAAAAATAAAACAAAATTAAAAAAAACAAAACAAAAAAAAATGGACAAATAAAAAAATAAGAGTGCAATGGCACTATGCACAAAGAAACCTAGTCAAAATCACATTTTAATTATACATTTAGTCTATTGAAACATGATGACACATAAAACACCTGTCAAGACTTTCAACCAGCCCCGATATAAAAATCGACATTTCCTATATAACACTTTGTCATTAGTTTCATTTCAAACAGCCACTAAATTACATAATGTTTATCAGGTCAATAATTAATGTTCATTCAATTTGTCAGAATGCAGAACAAAATTGAAAAAAAAAAAAAAAAAAAGGTTTTAATATGATTTTAGTCCACATCTTGATTTTTTGCGATTTTAACATTTAAAAAATAAAAACATTTAAAAAATAAATAAAAATAATAAATAACAAAGACATGCATAAAAATCTAAATTCAGCAAAAAAAGGCAATAAAAAGTCAAACGAAATTGTAAAAAAAAGGTTTTAATTTGACTTGTACATTACAAATAGAAAATAAGTTGAAAAATGTTATTTTTTAATAAAAATCAAGCCCTCTGAACTCCTCTTAAAAGTCCCATTGTTGCAGAAATAGCCTTATATAGCGGTGGCCAAAATCACCAGCTAAAAAATGGTTTAAAGTCAGTTATTTCTATCTCTTGCTGCAGTGTGTCAGTAGGAAACATCAGTTTACATTTCCAAACGTTCATTTTGCCATTAATTGTAATAATCCAGTGAGATTTTTGTCTGACACAGAGATCTGATCTGATCATCATCAGTCTGTCTGGAATCACATGAAGAAACAGAACAAACTGAGACAGACTCAATCCAGAAGAACTGTGCCAACGTCTCCAAGATGCTTCAGTTAGAAATAACTGACTTAAAACCATTTTTTAGCTGGTAAAAAATATTAGGGTTGTAATAATTTTGTCCACGACTGTACAGTAAGAATAGAAATCTGTGGTGTGTCCTCTTTTATAGGCTATAGATTAATGTTTGTTTCTACTTCTGAGGGTACATGTCTGCACACATACAGTGGAACATGCTGGAACATGCCTGTGAGGACGTCTGAGGTGAAATAAACCGGTAAATCATATTTCGCTAATAATCATATGTAATCATGTTACATAATCATGTAAACAGGTTTCTGTGGATGTACATACAGCCTATGAGAAAAATGGCTTAAAGTGATAGTTCAACCCCCCCCCCAAAAAAAAATAATAATAATAATTTACTCACCCTCAAGTTGTTCAAACCCTGAATGAATTTCCTTCTTTTGTTGAACACAAAAGAAAACAGTAGGCTATTTTGAAGAATGTGGGTAACAGCTACTGGTCCTTTTTTTTTCCAGCATAAAATATCCAGAAATATTTTCTTTTGTGTTCAGCATAAGAAAGAAATCCAAACAGGTTTATACCAACTTTCAGGTAGGCTATAAAAATAAATGAACTCACACAACAGAAGTCTACGGAAATTCCCCGGCAGGTTAAAGCGGCGCGTGCGCGCATGAGCCGCAGACTGACTTGACTCTGGGCTCCTCAGGAAAGAAAGTGTGTCCCTCAGATCAGGAAGTAGAAATCTGTGGTGTGATCCGCGAGCGTCCGCCAAACTCATCCAAACCAAAAGCATCAGAGGCGGGCGCCGCTTTAGTCCACGGTTTACACTACAGGACATATCACGTATTCAACATGTGGTAAGTAGCCTACACTAAACTATCTTGTGATGTTGAATAGGCTCCACAAACTCACCTCGACTGCACTATTTGCGACGCAACTCGCTTGGAGCGCCTGCAGCGTTTGTTTGTAGACTTTAGCGCGTCGTGCAGCGTTTGCAGTGCAGGTGAGACATTGTAAACAGTGACATTCATTCAGCAAACTGAGCGACTGGGGCAAGTTGTCACACACGGGGAAGTTGCCACAAATCTCAGTAACCCTGAGGTGTGGAGTCAAAAGTCCATACGTGTTTTTTTTGTGTTTTTTTTTGTCTAGCAGTGGTTTTGCATGTTGAATTGTTCATGTTGTTCATTAATTTAGTTTTTGTGACTGTTTTAATGCTTAAAGTTGGCTGAAAAACCCATTAAGTGTAAATTGTGACAACTTACCCCTTGACATCATGACCTGTTTTTGGGCTATGGTGTGTTCAGTGGGCCAAATGTTTTAGAAATGTTTAATAATTAATGTTTTTGTAGTCGTGTCTTTGAAGTTTGTTTCTATACAGAAGCGGAAAGTTTAAAAATAAGCACAAAGTGGGAAATAATCACTGGAGTATATGTGACAACTAGCCCCGGTGTCTTCTACATGACTAAACAGAGTTGTAAACTTTATTTGGAGTATGTAAGCCTGGTCAGTTAAGTACTGGTATCATTTGACAATACCATGGTAGTTTGATCTAGTATTGAATGTTTACCATGGTTCTCCTTGATATTTCATGAGACGCGTCCATTCTTTTAAAACATTTAATTGCAGAATAAGAGTCCAAATGTGTCTGGTTGTACCAGCGCTGCGGAGGTCACTCGTTAAAATTCAATGTAGCTACTGTAACTCACAAAAGAAAGCTTGTTTTGTTTGTAACCAAATGACCAATGACCTCAAGCCAAGGAAAAATGAGTCACGTCTTTAGCTGGCACAACACTTCAGCTCTGGAAAAGGGTTTTGCTGGATGTGGTGGATTGTAGACGTCTAGAAGAATTAGTCAGCTGGACAGAGCTGGTACATGGATTGGTTAACGTCTAGCTTTTACAATCGAAAGCGAAAAATTATTAGACTTCCTTTACATTGGACTTCTATAACAAAGATTGGCAGCGGCGTTATGTTCGAGGAACTGCATAAGAAAGTCTCAGATGCCTGTTGTGTCGCTTCCTTGCCGGATTTTCATATTCAAATCAAATGTTATATTGAAATTATACATTGTTCACAATCTGCTTTGCTTCATAACTGGATCTGTTTCTGAGGGAGAATGGATGTTCATCAAGAAAAATGCAGGGTTGGACTTGGACTTTCATGCATTTTAAAATTTAGGAGATCAGAAAGACAGTTTTTTTTTTGTTTTTTTTGCTTTTTAACGACCTGTACTAATGAATAAGACCAGGAAAGTGTATTAAAAAGGGTACATTTTTATTTAATTTTTACTTTAATGTCAAAACCTGCAAGTGTGTGACATGGTTTATGATTTACCTTAATGCTATCAGTGTATATCTTTAATGAAGCAATGCAATTAATATTTCCAAAATTATCTATATTCTGTTTAGGGCTGCACGATAAATATCGCACGATATTTGATGCGCATCTCGTCAGTAAAGCCGGTTCTGTAATCAGCGGTAAATCTCTACACGTGCGTGCTTTCACGTGGAGCAGCATTTACTACACCGAGCTGTTGTTCACAGACAAGCTGCACAAAACCACGATCATATTTTGCGCATGTTTTGCGCAGCTTGTCTGTGAACAACAGCTCTGTGTAGTAAATGCTGCTCCACGTGTAGAGATTTACCGCTGATTAGAGAGACCGGCTTTACTGACGAGATGCGCATTAAATATCGTGCAATATTTATCGTGCAGCCCTAATTCTGTTGCATTCTACATAGTGTTGTCTGGTTATGTTTTGCTTGTCTAGAAGTTTAACGTGTCTCTAAATTTTGTTTTGAAGACAAACGAATGGATGGATGTCATGCAATCTGTTCCTGAAGGGGCATTTTATGTATCTTCGGTCCATGAAGACGTCTTGCGAATGACACTGCAGCTTTCAGCCTGAAATATGTCGTCGTACTGGTACGTCAAAGAGACTGCAGATCCGGGCGGCAGCACCAGCAGCATGGAGGAGCAAGCTGGTAAGAAACCTTTACACATCCAGCAGGGTCCAAAAATAATCTCAAACTAATCATGTATTTACCAGATGTCGCATAGGTCATACAAGTCTGACTCAAGCATTTTTGCTTAAAGGTGAAGACACTACTCAATGTATGTTTTGCAAGGTTCCCCTTTCTCATATTTTATTGGACTGTCCAGCTTTTAATGTACAGAGGAAACTGTTTTATGGAGTGAACTCACTTAAAGAGTTATTTAGTAAAATTCTGCCAAGAAAAGTTTTAGAATTGTTATCACGTTAATGTAAAAAATCTTGTGTGATATACCTTGTGTTTGTTTGTTTGCTGGTTTTTATTGTATTTGTTATACTTGTATTTTTTAAACTGTTTTTGCCATTTGATGTCTTTGATGCTGACATGGCATTAAATAAATATATACTATTACTACTCAAACTAATCAGAAAAAAGTATTTATTTATTAAAATTAGGGCTGTCAGTCGATTAAAATTTTTAATCTAATTCATTACATGATGTTTCAATTAATTAATCTAATTAATCGCAAAATAAATTTGACTGTGAAAATACCCACAAAAGATTATTTAAAGCTATTTTACGTGTTAAATGAGAAAGTATCAAGCAGATATTACAAATTGTAGCTTTAGAGAGAAACATTTTATTTGATTCAACATAAAACTTATTACACATAAACATTTAGGCTACAACGGCCTAACGTAAACTATGGAACATAAAAGAAGATAATTTAAGAAACATTTCAGGTATTAAAAGGGGTCGTGTTTAGTCACTATTTAGTGTGGTATTTTTTGACAATATTCACTCATCATGACAGTAAAATAGGGCATTCTAAGTCAATATACTGCAGTATTTCCTCTCTCAATCAGTAGAAAATATGGTTAACACCCGGTCATGCATGAAAAAAAAATACCGTCATGTACCGTGAAACCAGTATAATTTTGAAAAATATCGTGATATCAATTTTTGGTCATACCGCCCAGCACTAATTTCAGTATTGTTTGTTCATACAATGAAAGTCATTGGTAACCAAAACAGCTTTGTTACCAACAGTCTTCAAAATACCTTCTTTTATGTTCCACAAAAGAAAGGTTTGAAACGACATGAGGGTCAGTAAATGATGACAGAATAAAAAAAATTTTGCGTGAACTATCCCTTTAATGTTTTTATTTGTATTAATATTATTTATTTATTTATTTATTAATGAAATAATACTCTAAATAAGAAACTAAATCTGCCAGCAGGTGGCGGTAAATGTCTTGTAGCTTTAAGTAGTTTTTTTCTTCTTTTTTTTATTTAAAATTTTTGGGTGAACTATCCCTTTAATAATTTTTTTTATGAATATACATTTTTTTATTAATATGTAAATAAGACATACTTTTTAAATGAAATTCTACTCTAAATAAGAAACCAGTAGGTGGCGGTAAATGTCTTCATGAGTAAGTCATTGAGTCATTCATTCATTCATTCATTCGATTTGTTCAAACAGCTGATTCATTCAGGAATTAAGTAAAGGCTCTCTTTAAGAAGGGGCTTTTGAATCATTGATTTCACATGATTCGTTCAAAATGTGGATTCATTCAGAAACTAAACACCGCTGTGTTGCTCGGAGACGGGTAATATGGTTTCTGCAAAATTGAGCAAAACGCATAATATAATATTGTGTTTAAAATATAACACTATCAACTTATTTACTGAACTGTTGTATAAAATCCCATTTAAACTTGTGATATTCGGGACAAAATCAGCACTCGTGTGATATTACTCTAGCTGCTGGTGTGATATCGCTTATCATATGATATAAATATAAGACAAAACATACAGGGGCATTTTTTTTTGCACCAATATCTTGATTTTTAGGGCATAACTGCATTTATGGAGTTGTTGCCCTGCATCATATTTGTCAACAGTCAACTGTATGAAATATAAGATGATGTACAGGTTTGGGGGCGGGGCCAGTGCGTTAACTGTGTTAAAATATTTTAATTGCGTTATTTTTTCATAACTAATTAAGTTAACCCGTTAAACTGACAGCCCTAATTAAAATATTTAATAAATAATTGTAAATAAATAAATATTAATAATTGTTAAATAGATAAATAAATAAATATTATTAATAGTATCAATAAATTATTATTAACAAATAACTATTAAATATTTAAAATATTAATAATTAATATTATTTTGTTTTGAGGCATTAAAAAATAAAAAAACAAATATTTAAATATTTATCAACATTTAATTTTATTATTATTATTATTATTATGATAGTTTAATTATTTAGCTGTAGGGAGGGCTTGATGCCATAATTGTGGCTTCGGTATGATACCAGAATCTAATACCTCGGTATTAATACTAAATCGATACCATAGGTGACAAATAAGCAGCCTCAAAAGATAACTGAAAGTTTTATTAAGAACAGTGCATGTTTAGTAAAACTTAAGAGATTAAAACAAAATTTTTTTTTGTTATTGAATAACTAATATTGCATTACACATAAAGTGCAATCTACCTGTAAAAAGCAGCACATTACATAGAACAAGTGTCAGATTTATTAGTTTGCATTTACACTTTAAATGCAAACTATACAGTTTGCATTTAATGCACAGATCTGTTTTGACATACAGTATCTGTTGTTTTGCCCCATCTGTTACTATGCTTATCACTGTCAATCATCGCAGTTTCGGATTCAATCCACCATTTAAATAAGGCTGTCAATCCAGAAACTTTGCAGTGTGCAGTTAACAGTGTGACAAATGTATATTATATACAGAGAGTGAAACAAGAGCGCTCCTATTGTAATCACTGAAGCTCTGACTGAGAGAAAACTCCCATTATAATCAATGCAGCTGACAGCTCTGCATAATCAATCTCTTAATTACATTGTGTTGTTTGTAATTAATGAAGGGATTCACGAATGTGCTTTGGGTGAGCTTTTTCAGCGCTATTGAGTGGATTCGGCCTGTCTGATTGATCATTACGTTAATGTACTCAACCGAAATGTCTGTGATTGGCTGCAATGCCTAACGCTGCAATAACACGTTATAAGAAACCTTTGATGCTCATCACAGAGCACTTACACAAATATAAACTGGAGCATCAGCATTATATCAATATTCACAATATCTTATATCCTCATCACAATTATCCTGTAGAGTGAGTTTTATCTGTTTGCTACAGCTTTTTGAATGCACTGCAAAAACTTGTTTACCCGTTGAATAAAGTTGATTTTTCTGAGCCCTTTTGCAAGATAATTGTTCTCGTTTTAATCCATTTTAATAGTTATTTCCATATTCTAGTTAAGCTATTTTGTACACACTATTGATGTATTTTGTTTCCTTCAATTTATTCCTTACATTTTCTTTGCTTGGTCTTAAAATGGTCTTAAATTAACTTCATAAAACCTGCAGAAACGTTTGAAATATGGTGTATATACCAGTGTTTTTCCAGTACACCGTGCAACCCTATTTAGTAGGGGTTTTTTTTTTTCTTTGTATATTTGTCACAAATGGCACTTTATTCAGTGTTCATTTGGGACCCTATCTGGCAGTAATCTACTTGCAAAAAACTAAAAAAATTGTTTGACTTCTCAAGACAGATTGACAGCAGATCCTCTAAATAAACCCTAAAAACAGTGACATTTTTCTCAGCGAAGGCATGAGAAACTTCCTCATTGCTTTACAAACGGCATGTTGCCAGTGCATGTGGTGTACTGTTGTGTGTGTGTGTTTGTTGAAACACTCATTTTGCATAATCGTACCACTACGAAAGTTAATATTTCCCTCTGAGAGAAACACCAGTTCAGCAACTTTACTGTGTCATGTGAGAGTGTGGTATTGTGGTACTGAGAATGGGATAACATGGGCCTGGTGTAGCATGTAAGAAGCAGCGTATATAATAAAAGATTTGTTTGGGTTTGGTTGTTCTTTTCACCCCTCTGAAACCTGAGACACCATCTGTAGTGCAGTTATGGTTCGAGGAACTTGACCGTCTGCACAGCATTTATAGAAATATGAAGTGAAACAGTGAACGTCACTTCCTCTCACATATACTCAAGTTTGAATGTGAGATTGGCCTGTATGCTAGCAGCATTTGTGCGTTCTGCTCTCAACCTTTATTCATATTCGGCTGCTGATTAATATAGGCATGACTACAGATTCATATAGTTGATTGTGCTCAATCTCATTTGTTGTTGACCAGTAGCTACTATCACATTTTAAATTTGCCAAAAACGGCCTCTAAATTAGCAATCAAAAGTTTGAACACACTTGACTGAATTAGTTACTCTTGGTCTTAAAAACACTTTCTTCTAAATATTTCTGCTAAAATGTTTGAAACTAGTTTTGTAGACAGATGTATTTTAGATTTGCTTAGCATTTTTTTTATCACTACATACATTTGTGTTATTTGTAGTTGTGATAAATTCATTAAAAAAAATTAATATATGATGCATTATTTTTTTATTTATCGAATATATAGAGGTACTTATTTATTTTTATGTTGAATGTTGAAAATGGCAATAATAAATAATGACGAATGAATATATCTCCAAATATTTGACAACTGTGTGTCGCTGGTAAGAAACATAATATATTAATAAATTATTAATAAATATTTATAAATAAATACATGTATTGATATATTCATAAAACAAACCATTTTAAAAATAAATAAATTCGTTTTTTGATTGATTGAACGAATTAATAATTATATAGAGGTGTTTGTTCGTTTGTTTGTTTGTTGAATGTTGAAAATATTCCTAATAAAGATTGAGTAGGTCTCCAAACTAGTGTGATATTTCAGTTTTTCTTTTTTGATAAATCTGCAAAAATGTCAACAATTCTGTGTTTTTCTGTCAATATGGGGTGCTGTGTGTACATTAATGAGGAAAAAAAATTAACTTAAATGATTTTAGCAAATGGCTGCAATATAACAAAGAGTGAAAAATTTAAGGGGGTCTGAATACTTTCCGTACCCACTGTATATCCTGTATA